CTCGCTGTCAAAACATTGGCTCATCAGCCAAATTAAAAAAGATTCTAGCTATGACAAGGGAGAATAATTAGATCAGTAAAGCCCTTGGGATAAAATTTTACCAAACTTATTTTTAGACTATTAAAACGCTAGAAATTAATTGAAAGTTGGTTTCCGGATATGTCCGCAAACCTTCATAAGGGAGAATTGAACAGTCGTCATTACAATATTATGCATTGCTTGCTTTGAGGAAGTCGCGAGTGGACTTAATGACATTTCAAACAATCGATTAAAATGAGCGGACGTCTCAGAAATTAGACTTCCGTTTAAGTACAACCTCTAAAAATAACTTCACATATTCACAAATTCACATATCCAAGCCAACGCTCTAAGATTTCCTTTCTGTCTTCTTATTCTCTCTTCCTATGACAAGTAGAATAATCGGCATGTTCTCTGATTTGTTAAAGTCCCCAAAACCGTGGGAATTGCTGGTTTAGAGTATTGATGTACTTGAAGAGTGACAATATTGAAGAGTGATTTCTCATTTGTTATCTTAGAATGCAACAGTGGCGTATACAAAACTCTGACTGAGCATGACCGTTCGGTGAGCTACACTGGAGTTGTAAAATGTGACAACACTCTGGCTGACAACTGGTATAGGATCACAGGAGCTGCAGGGTCTCAGATACCTATATTTTCCGTGGAGAGAAAGCATTGCGGTACCGACGCACCAGGATGGATGATTGGTGATCAACCCACAGTGGCCGAAGGAGCTGTCGCCCGCAAAGTGTGTTACCATGGGCCCGATTACCGCTGTCAATATTCTAATTTCATCCTGGCTCGCAACTGTACTGGTTTCTATGTCTACCTTTTGCCAAAACCACCTCGTTGCAACCTGCGTTACTGTGGTTACTGAGGTAAGGATTCATCATGTAGATTCACCTGATACTCAGTCTTTTTGTCTTTCCACAGCCCAGGGTTAACATCTCTCTTGTTTTCATTCTTGTTTGAGGCCCGTGGAGCTCTTAGCAAAGTTTTATCCCCTTTTTACGCAGAAAAGCTACCCCTTTTTTGGCGTATACCTTCTATTGACAAATGGTACCCCTTTCACATAATAGTTTACAACGCTGCATGCCCTCAAACTGCTGTAACAGCATCGTCTTTTAAATCTGAATAAATCACCAAACCAGGAAATTTTCTTTTCCTTTTCACATCCAAAAAATGCGTCTGTTGGCCGTGTTAGGTCCTTTTACAGACCGAAATGAACGGATTTTCCTTCCCTTTCTTATACTTCAACAGGAGCCTGACTTCAATGAGTGAAATCCCTACCCTTTCATATACCTTCCAGTATAGGCCATAAGGGAACTACTACGGCGACGGCAACGGCAGCTTCAAAAACCAATAGGTTTAGTAAGCAAAACAACAACTTTGCTCCTGCATCACTCTTTTTTGTACATTTCTTTGCCGTCCCTGCACGACTACAACTTCAAATGGCCAAACTTTAAGTTTTTTTGAGGACGGGAGCGGCAAGGCAATAAATTCTACCATCTCTTTCTGAACTCGGGGGTGACCCCCTCTCTTCAGCTCCAACATAAATTCCCCTCTTTTAAGTAACTGGACGACTTGGGATAATCGAGAAATGCTCTGGAAGCGGAGTCTATTTTTAATTTCACGACGTTTTCATGGATGTCGCCGTTGTCGGATTGTAAGGTCCATAATAGGGAGTACCCCCCTTGGAGAGGTGAGGAGGGTAACAAGGCAAACAGTTCAAAAGCTACAAAAGCTGTTCACAAACTTCCATAGGGAGCTTAACCAAGGACGACGACGCAGCAATGAGAACGACAAAAAAGCAATAGATTTGGATTGACAAAACAACAATTTTTCACGTGGATCACGCTTTTTAGTACATTTCTTTGACGTCGTTGCACGACCACGACGTGAAACTGCCTAATTATCACGTTTTTTGGAGGACGTTAACGTAAGACAACGATTTTCTGATTCGGCCTTTTTTAACTCAGATACAGCCTTTAGAATTCAACTCCAGAAAAATTTACCAACATTGGACAAATTGAACGGCATGGAATAATAAGAGCGATGAATTTTGAAACAGCGTGAATTCACATTTTAAGAGACGTTTTCCCCAGAGTCCTCGTTGCTTAAGTTCCCTATTTTTGAAACGTTGCTTTTCCCAATATTTTCAAGGCTGATGGACCCGTAAGTGTCAATGTGTTAATCCAGATATCATCACAAATTACTTAAAACAGTGTACTCAACTAAAAGTGAGTTCTACTGATTTTGTTTTGCAGCCGTGGAAGTTACGTCAGGTTACCTCGAAAACGCTAACTGGACTGATTTGCCCTGAGGTCTTGCTTTTTTTTTGGTTCAAAGGCGTGTAAAATCATAAAATATATAGCCGTATCCGTTTCTAGTTTGATAATTTAAAGAATAAACATCTCGCCAATACCGAACCTCCTTTTTGCTTTTTAGTTAAAAATAAATGGTTGTTGAACCAGGATAGCCTTTAGGCTATTTCTGTGTTTAGACTAATGAATAAAGCAGTTTTAAAAAAAGATGCAATGTGTAACTTCTTTAATTCTTTAAAAAGAGTGATCCTGGACTATTCCAGTTGCAGGACAACTGAATTCAGTTGTTTCAGTTGTTTTTTTTGTTGTGTCGCGTTGAAACTTTGCACGTGGCTTGTCACCAACATGAATAAACTCTTCTCTTTCATATTATTCATGCACTTATGCCTACCTTTTTCACACAGCCTGAAACATACCGCTTGTTCGCGGCTTTTTTGACTGCATGGATTGCCAAACGGCTTTGAGCATGAGACACAACAGAAACAGTTAAACAATCCCTCGTGACAAGACTCAGTTGAGTCGTATCACGAAAAAAAAGGCATGAGAGTAGCCTGTCCACAGACATTTCCTGGCGCTTGAGGGTCAAGAAATATCCCGCGGCTTTTATTCTCTTTACGCGCGCTCGACGATCTCGAAAGAGAAAATAGGCTAGCCTAAGAGGGGATGAGCGAGTCACACAATCGAAATCTCCACGTAATCTCAGACCTGCTTCCTACAATATTGCTTTTTATAGAGTTTCGTTCAGTCGTTTGTTGCATGAAATCCACCTTAATTTTAGTTTGGACATCATAGTCATCATAGCGGAGCTCCACGCGCGGCGCGAAGGAAATGTGGTGATCTAGCCATCCCAGAAAATTTGGTTATCACGTGACCGTACACCGAGCGAGCCAGCGACCGTCCGTCCGTCCGCACCACAGGCATACCAATGTAAAATAACTCAATCAGCAGGTATGGCAACCCAAGGTTTTATTTGGAAGGAAATCACGTGGCCGCCCGGACTTTTAGAAAAAAAAAAGCAACAGCAATGTCGTGTCTTTTTCGGCGTTATTTTTTAACAGAGAAAGAGCTAGGGCGAGTTATTGAAAACAAAGGAGACGAATTCCGTAGGAAGAAAAACATGGAAATTCAAAGCGGCGGTGAGAAAATGAGGAGCGGCCAGCAAGGTGCAACGTGAAAATGAGCGGCAGTAAAAAATATAAGGGAACATGCACACAGGAAACAAAATATTGGGTAAGCACATACGACAATTCCTCCCTAAAAATAATGTGTAACTAGGAAGTTTGACGTTTTAGTCGTAAAAAAACAGCGTTGTAATCGTGCAAAACAACGGCTAGGGAAAGACAAAAAAGCGAGCTGCACGTGCAAATTTGTTTTTAGCTAATTAGAAGGAAAAGTGTGCTGCACCTGTAATTTGTTTTTTGCTAATTAGATCTATTAGTCTTGAAGCCGTTTTCATTGTCGTCCCTCTTTTAATTTTTTTTTGCTTATAAGTATTATTAACCAGAGCTTCGCTTTTAGCCCCGGCTAAATCTATATATTAGATAATGCATACAGCTCTGACAGCTACCCAGAGAAGCACGAAACAGTTGCATATGCGCTAAATTTCCGGGGGGGGGGGGGTGCACTCAAGGGAAATTTGTGTAGAGGTGTGCTGCCAAGCCTTTCAAACCCTGACTCAGTTTAACCCTTTAAGCCCCAAACGATCCACGTACAAATTCTGCTGACTGATCTCCATACATTTCTTTTAAGAATGGTTGAGAAAATTTGGTTCAAGATCAAAGCACTCTCCCTTTGGTAATCAATTGAGTAATTCTCATAACCTTTACTCTTGATGATCTGCTGATGTTGTTAGGAGAATATTCATGTTGGTCACTCTTGGGAACTGAAGGGTAAGACAAGAATCATTCATTTCTCTCCAATGACCCTGTTTAAGACAAAACACCCAATTTCACGACTCTGATTCATTTTGTTCCACACACAGAAGAAAAAATCTTGTAGACCGCTGTCCAGGAAGACACCCGGTACTGTTCAAAACACTAAATAGTGAGATCATATAAGCTGCTAAGAGTCAAGACCCTAAAAACCATACCCTGTCCAGTGGCACATACTCATCCAAGCCATACAAGGGAGTGCCCCCTTCCACACCCTAATACTGCACATTCTCTAGAACACCTTAAATGCAGAGGGCCACTCAACTCGTAAATAAAACCGACTGGACCTTTCTTGCCAGATCTCTAATGTAGAGATGCAAACGCCAGACACCACTTGAAGTGGGAATTAAAACCAAACTGAGTGTAAGGCTGGTAATACGGCAAAGGGCTGATTTATTTTACACTACATACTACAGCCGCTACAGCTACTACAACTACTACACCCACAGCTTGCATAGCATGGTGGTTTTGATGGGAGCACTACTGAGTGGCAAAGCCGCAAAAAAGGCGCTTTTCAGCACGAGCAGCAGGCTACTACACCCATGCATACTACAGCCTTTGAGACCATGTGGAGTGGCAAGGGATTATATGTGTCTCCAGCCGTGGGTCTCTCGAAGGTGCCCACGGTGAAGCAACTATATTATGGATTAGGCAGAAATTCTGTGTTGTTCAATGTTGGTCAGTCTTCTAGCTCACATTTTTTTTTTGCTCCCGAGTGGTTTATTTGCACAAAATTATTATCACATAGTTTCTTACAATGCATTTGCAATTAAATTATATTAAACATGAGACACGGTGTTTTAATGTATATTTCTGCTATAATCTTTCCTAAGGGGAGATATGGAATAAGAAAAGGAATATCTTTCCAATTATTTTTTTGGCTAATTTAACATGTGTTTTCTTTGGTGGCTTTTTGTTTCTGGAGGGGCAGACACGTTCTTACCCAGAAACTTTAGTACAATTAAAGTGATGTAGCTAGGATACATCCATATTAGAAGACAGACCGACTGACTAATCATCAATGTACACTGTCCTATTCACATTAAATGACTCATGTCAGTAAAGTCAGAATCAAAGCCTAGTCTCGCGTTGCGTCTTTCTCACTTACACCAAAAACCCAGCAAAAAGTAGCGATTTGTTTGTATATTGTACAAATTTAACCTACAGGTGTATTTACAGGGGCGAAAGTATTGAAAGTCTCACAAAATAGTGAGCCTTGGTTTCTCTTTTTGAGCAGTTTCTGCATCTTGTATTTTGGCTTCAGCCACATGTCTTGGAAGTTCAGAAAAAGAAAAAGATTCAAAATTTATCACCCTTCCAAGTTTTCCTTCTCCGAAGCTGTTGTCTGTTTACAACTCGGTCTCCTTGTCATTAATTTTTCTATATTTAAGACACAATACTTGTTTTTGCTAATTAATCTTGCACATTTGTTATCTCCTGGGTGATGCATACAATCTGATGTAGTCCTCTACTCTTCTTCGAAATGACTCCTGTTGAAAGTTAATAATATTTTTGGTTTGGGTATTGTGTTGGCTAGGAATCAGAGCAACAGTATCACAAGCCTCTCTGGACTGATTTTCATACATTTTCTTATGAGGTTAGCTGAGAGAGCTTGTTAAAACAGTTTCCCGTTGGTAATCAGTTTATTATCTTGACTATAACTGTACTGGTGTTGTTAGGAGTTAATGTGGGTACATCTAATTCTTTTGACTTGGAGGGTTAATATAATTATCATAGATTTCTGGGGAGGTATGATTGTCCACATGTCATTTTCTTTTTATGGAATGGTTTGAATTTACTTATGCTGGACGTATAAATTTTTTGGAAATGTGTCAGGCCAAATTTTTTCACCAGGTATGAGTTTGTTAATCACACTCTGATGGAAAGATTTGGCATGAGATTTTGAAGTTTTCAATCTGAAGGCTTAAGAGTTGGCGGGCATTAGTCAAGCTATCAAAATGTAAAAAGAGCATTCTGAAAGAAATAGCAATAGGAGCTCTTACCTTATTTTTGAAAAACAACTCTGACGCCTCAACATTTAGTGGATCATCAAAGTTTAACAAGTCCTGGTTTCAAAATACAAAGTAACCAGCAATACCTAATGTTAGTGAGGGGGGTATCCATTTATCCATTTCCTAAATATATAGGGGGACTATTATTATTTTAATTTGAACAGTAAATTGTAATAAAGAGGTTTGGCATCTGTCTCAAGATTAACTGTCTGGTTACATAAAGGTACAAGCATTTTCAATTTCGGACTCAATGGTTCCGGACTGGGACTCATGATTTTTCACAAGATGCATCCCAGATCACTGTAAATCACAAAACACAGTTTCAATGCCTAAAAAAAATTAATAAAGTCTTAATTAACAAACCACGACAATATTATTTTTGGAATTCAATTGCTACAAAAAGTTTTAGCTTTTTAAAAATATAACAAATAGTATGACATAGCCCCACTAATGCCTTTATAAACCTTTATATCCAGCATCTCTCCTACTTGCCCCCTGGGAATTGAGTGGAAGACAGGGTTTTCATTAGGCATCGGAGATTAGAGAATTCTCCGCTTACTACGCAGAATTCTTCAGCTAACGTTCAGTAGCCTATGACCATTTTTTATTCAAACATGAAGCCTCTTTGTCCTGTAACTTTACACCTTTCTCCTGCTACCAGGATTCTTAATGAAAACCCTTGGAAGAGAACCCTTGGGAATAAGCTTGTTTATTAGTTAAGACTAGAATAATAACATTGAAAAGCACTTACAGTAAACAAAGAATTCAGTCCCCAGACAATATCCTATGGGAAATAATAATTACAGTAATAAGGTAAGAAGAAGGAAGTCTTAATTAATTCACAAGAAAAATTACTGCTGATAACTCTATTGATATGAAATCTTGCCCTGTGATGTCATCTAAAGGCAGGATTACCGAGTTTTTGTTGTTGGTGTTTTTTTAGCATGGGGACTTAACGTATTAATTTTCAGAGCCCAGGTTGCTGCTGTTGCTTAAGGTGTGATGTTGGTGCGACTTTTTAAATGCACATCAACTTAAGTACCATACAAAGGAACTAATGTGTCGTAAACCCATAAACAAAATTGTTACACACAAACATACTAACATACTATGGTATACAGGGTGTCCCAAAAGTTCGTTCCTCTACGTTATAAGTCTGTATTTCAGTTTGATTGGACTTGGTAAGCAAATCATTTAAACAAAAGTTGTGGCTTTCAAACTAATTCACTATTTTCATCCTTGTTGTGCTGTCTTTTGATGCGAATATTCGATTTGTGTGCTTCCGTGCTAAAGGTGTGCGTACGCGAGTATATTTTCCAGCCACATATTTTTTGTATTTTATAGCCCAAATTGCTCGAACTCCTTCCTTGTTTTTTGTGCATATCACAGAAGATAAACCTCTTCAACACAAAAACGTTCCGCTATGTGAGAGCATAAGCTTCGATTTACTGGCTTATCTGTTGAAGAAACTGCTAAAAAACTGGAAAAATCCAAATGTTGGGTGATTAAATGATCATGGAGGAATGAAGCTTTTGAAGGCAAGAAATTAAGGAGAAGACCAAGAGTCCTGAATAAAGCAGCTAAAATAGTTTTTAAGAAGGCTAGATAGAAAATAGGAGACTCAACGAGGAAGCTCTCACATAGTTAGCAAGCAAAGTCTAGAAAGGATCATGAAAAGCTGATTAAAATGTTTAAAATTACTAAAATTAGAGGCCCCTGAGATGGCAAAAAAAACCTGTTTAATCTGCTAAGTAACGCCCAGCTCGTCTCAAATTTGTAAAGAAGTACAAAAGCCTTGCTGCGGAACTTAGGGGGCTGGGATGATTATCTTTTTTGGATGAATGCCCAAAATATTTTTTTTCAGCTGCCTAAACTAAACAAATATTATTTAGGGGCTGAACTGGCTGCTGCCGCACCAGGTGATAAAAAAGCTCAAAATGGATCATCTGTGGGTCTACACGCAATCCCACTTCATGACGCAATGGCTACAGAGTGTGATAAAAAAAAAACAAACAAAAAGGGCATGCCAGTTACTGAAATTCTGAATACATGTACTCGACAGAGAGACAAAGATCTTCTAGAAATTTGATGTCAAAATAAAGTTTTGATCAAAAGTTATAGTGCATGAAATTAGAGGAATGAACTTTTGGGACACCCTGTAAGTGACCACCAAATGACCTCAACAAATATCTGAGTATAGACCTTTAGACTGGAGAACATACATTTCCTTAAAGAATTATTGAAGAGAATTTGATAAAGATTCATGCATTCTCTCTTTCTGAATAATAACCTTTTTTCTTAATTCTGTATCGTTATTGTCAGAAGAAAATCGGTGTTGGTCACTTTTGGGGGTTAAAGTATTAACTACGTACCTTTAATTTTCTAGTTGGAGCCCAGCCAGAACCATCAAGTGTGTGTTCCCTCAACAAACTGAACAAAAAAAAAACATTAAACATTAATTTCAAATAAAAAAGAGCCAAAACTAACGAGGAATTAATATGTTTATACTTGTCAACAAATGGTCAAAAATAATAATAATAGGTTTATTAATTTATATAATCAAATCCACGAGCTTTTTTAGAACAAAATACCAAACAGAATGCGTTTCAAACATCATTCACAAACCACATACCTTAAACACACTTCACCATTCTCACTTATATTTGGATGCCAAATTTTTGTTTCACACGAGACATGTGGTGGCTGAAAAAGAATTCATCATAGCATGAACTTTTGGTAAACTATGCCCCCTGTGGATTGAATTCAGTAAAATGATGCCCTCTTACAACCCCCCCCCCCCCCTTGCCCATCCCTACCCAGGATAGGATGCTAGTTCATTCATCAGATGATAATGGATTATACGACGCATACATTTACCACAGGACCATACAAGCTTACTAGGCTAGGGGGTGGTGGAAAGGCAAATGGTTGGTCTTGGAAACTTTTGGTTTGATCTCAAAATCTAGACATAATTTGTCATACATTGGTAGTCTGACTCATTTGCACTTTTCTTTCTATCTTGTCCTGGTAATCTCCAACATTTTGCCTGATGGTCTTGAAGTCTTTGCAACTGAAATTAATCACTTTTATGTTTCTTCAGACTTTTGGCTGTGCTATTAATTTGTAAGGAGCCTAAAGCACTGAACCTTTAACCCTTTAAACCCTAAGATCAAAATTTGAATTCTCATTTGTTGCCCCTATTTATTTCCTACAGAAGTACTGGGGAGAAGTTGATAAAATATCAAGAAAATTTATCTTGTGTGATCACGTCTGTAATTCTCATGACCAATCTGTTTAACAAAGCATTGATATTACAAGGAGAAATTTGATGCTGATCACTCTTAGGGCTTAAAGGGTTAACACCCATAACTTGCTGAGAGGGAGCACTTGGCACTGTTAGAGCACAGTTCTAAGACTCTCTAATTTTGCAAAGGAGACAAATAACTAGATGCCTATAAAGATGTACCTTGGGCTGTTTGTGTATGCAGTGGTATAATATTTTGGAAAAAGGGAAGAGATATAATCATACTTTTTGCATGCTGAATACATGCATAGTCACTTCTATATCGCATTGTGGGTCATGTGTCCACCATTTCTCTTTTATGGACAGAGGCGACAAACCTAATTTTTGTTTAAGCTACATGCCAAAGGCATCCCAATAAAAATTGAAATAGGGAAATAACTGAACCTTCACAAGATAATCTTAGACACCAGAAAAAGACATAAAAAGGAAGAGCTTGTAGAAAAGACTGATAAACAAATACCCCAACTTCAATAAAGTATTATCACTTTTTGCTGACCTTTATGTTATAATCCTCTGGTATAAGGACATGAAAGATAAAAATCCCATCCTTCCAGTAGCCTTCTCCTTCCAATTAAGAAAATAAAAATTGATGAATACAGTACAATATGTCTGAACAGAAAATGAAGGGAAAAGGTTTACTTTCTTACCTGGAGTTATGGTGAGAGTGAATTCATGAAGAACATTCGGGTCCTTAAACTCAACTTTGCAAGAATCTGTCATAAAAAGAGAAGTGAGACTAAAAAATTAATGATAAGATCACTGAATTGAAGACTGACTTGCATGTATGAAGCAAACACAAAGACAGGCCCAAGACAATGTATGTCAAAAACATGTAAATAGTAAGAATAATTGTTATCGTAATAATTCATTTGCCTGTAGCATAGAGCACTTATGAGTTCTTAAGAACTTATTTAAATGAGTCCGTTTGTTTGTTCCAGATCATGGTTCTGGAGGAGAGAGGTAAACAGGAGTAAAGAGGAAAAACCTTGCTTAGCAAGGGAGGCAACCAACATCCAGGCTGGGATTTGAACATGGATCACATTGGTGGGAGGCGAGTACGCTCACCACTGCACCTCCCATACCCCTACTCAATGCAAGTACAGTGGAACCTTGATATAACGAATGATTTTCTTTACCCCAGTAGTAGTAAAATATTTTAAAAAGAACCTCAACATAACAAAACCTTGTTATAGTGAACAAATTTTGGTAGTCCCTTGAACCTTCATTATACTGAGTTTCCACTGTGCAAGTGCAAGTGTAGCCACTTGTGTTTGTAGTGTACATGAGGTTGTGTCAATCCGGACAATAACAAAAGTGAAAAAATGATCGTCAGCCATATTGGGATGTAGGATGCTTGGAAATAGGCCTTTTGTAATAGTTTATCACATGATCAACTTTCTGTAAACATGTAAATCAATTCTTGATTGAAAGTGACTTCAGCAGGATCGAACTGAAAGAGCATAAAAAATACCTTGTAAATTTTCAGCTGTGTAATTCAAAATTAGTGATAGCAATGGCTGCCGAAAATTAGAAGCATTGTATGGGGAAATAAACTCTTGCCACCGAGTCATGGTTTAGCAGTTTTCCCCCAAAAAATCCTTGAAAATTGTACAATTTTCAAACTGTCACCAAATCTTTCCCCTATGCATTACAAGGCTCAAGTTTTCTATCTTTCCATCATTTGAGTAAATATGGTATCTTTAGGTGCTTTGGAGCAGTCCCACCCCACTCCTCCGAGTGGGGAAGGGGCACATACAAGAATGCTAAATACCATTCCCTCAGGACTTGGCAGACCACAAGGAATCTAAACAGTATATTTTCTGAGATTCTCAAGTCTTCATTGTTCTAGAGTTATAAGTTAGCTTGTTATTACCTCTGCATTGATAAAAATCCCAACCAAGGGGACAATATCAAACAAAAAACTGTCTAAGCAGTTTATTTAATTATAAACATCACAAAACGTATGCATATTTACTTACAAGGACCGTTTTCTTACAAGATTGTAGGCATTATACATTTCTGGGAAACTGCCCACCTACCTCTCCCCTAAGACTACTGCAACACTTACTTCTCACTTAGGGCAAAATGTTGGCTTAGGGGAGGGGTTGGTGGGCAGTTTCCCAGAAACGCCTAATGATCCCAAACTTGCATCGATATTACAGCACATAAGGCTCATAGTTAGCTCTTACCAAGCGCATTTTCCTCCAGTTCTGTCACTTCTAAAAGCGGAAAAACAAAAACAAGTACCGGGGCGTATCGAGTGTGAGCATAAACTAGCAAAAATTAGACAAAACATGAAAACTGCAATAAAAATCTAGGCTTCCAATGCTAGGTAGTAACCTGGACATATAAGCTTTTTGAACTCATAAATTTGGTTCAGTTACAACAACGATCTATGTCTTATGAAGTATATGAGCCTACCTTTGACAAGTAACTTATCTCGAACGGATATTCTCGAAATTTTGGGACTCCCAGAAGTACTTTTCACCTTCTCCTTCTTGTCCCTTTCTTCCTTAATCTTCTTTGAGAGAGTTATCATTTCTTACTACAAAAAGGAGACAGTTTTTTCCAAAACATCTGCACAACAGTATCCCTTTACGTTCTAATCAGCATTTCTCTATCTTTATGTCCTTCTGAAGCTGCGATTATTTGGCTAGCGGATAAACAAAAGACCAGTGAGTAATGCATGTACATACCAATCAATTATCGAAAAGTCCCAGTCTTCTAACGGTAGTAGACTGCTGACTGCAATGACGATGCACTGGAGTTTGTGGCGTTTTCTGTGAGGTAATTTTCTCGAGTTTTTACCGGTTTTTAACTCAAAAGGAGTATCAATGGGTTTGAAACGATGTTGACAAGTGATTGAACTTATCAAAGGTAAGAAAGAGAACGTTCCTTTGTTTATATAAGCTTATGCATATCAAAACTTTGTATATTTGCCTTTTTTTTCAAAGTACTGTTGTCTTGAGTACGTAGTGTGTTTACGTCCGTGTGGAATATGGTTAGTTCTTTTCTCTGTTATTCATCTATTGTTGGCTGATACACAGTATTGTTTTACATTTTGTTCTTGTTTTTTTCTTTCGTCTCTTGCCGGTTCTCGGTTACACATTTCGAGTGTACAGCCGTTATGAAGGGGGAGGGGATCACAAAATAGCAGACCCCCCGGACACTCCACTCCCGATAACTATCTGGAAAAAGATAGGTGGTGCCTTGGATCAGACAAACTTTTCCGCTTTTCTTTAGTTAGAGTTGCTCTCAGGGGCTTATCAAATTTTTTTTACAGGTATATGGGCCATAACCGGGAGGAGGGCTTACAAGCAGCAGTTTACGCGGGGGGGGGGGGGGGGGGGGGGGGTACTCTAGGACTTTTTGGGTGGAGATGTGTCACTGGGACCATGGAACCCTTAGCCTATACCAGAGCTACTTCAGCTGAATTCTCCTACCCTACACTCATCAAATCCCTCCCTATCCTATAGCAGCTTTTAGGCTAAGTTGCACAAATTTAAACTTGTCGATTTGATTTTTTTTGAGTGGAAATTCCCGGTTTCTCTATTCTAGACTAAAATCTTCAATTAATTGATCAGTTTTGTGGAAAATGTTCATCCTATTCTAGACCCAAACTCTCTGATTTATATACCCTATCCCAGAGTAAACTGCCTGAAAACCATACCCTTCACAGTGGCACATACCTGTATAGCCCATATATGGCAGTACCCCTCCCCCCCCACCCCGCCCGGGAGTTTATGGTATCAGTTTTTTATTTTAAAATCCAGAGATCGTTATTAACTCAATTTTTCGTTTTTTTTTTTCAGATAGTTGCATTGATACCTAGCCACAACAGTCATGGATGACAAAAACAAAAACCCGTCAGAAGTTGCTCAAAATCCATTTGCTGCTCTCTTTCCATCAGTTGAAAAAGCTGAAGAGTACAGAAAGCAGCATGGTGAAGTCATTGCTGTCCATAGTCCAAAGGAAAACACAGTCTCAAAGATACAACCAATATCAGTGCTGCTAAGAGATGTCCAAGAAATTGAGTCTAAAAATGAGGCAGGACACACTACTACTGCAGATATCGTAATTGATGAGAAAGAAAGAGCTTGGATCTTGAATGATCTACTTCAGCGTGTATTTCTCATCACAGTAGATAATGGTAATAATTATGACAATAATATTAATTTGTATTATATGGCTCCAATAGTACGTGCACTCTGGTTAGCATTATTTTCTTGTAATGACCGGTCATTTCTAGCTAGGTGTCCAAGGCATATTATGATATGCATCTGTGTTTAACTTGATAGTGGACATCCCTATAGACATCCATGTTTAATGGTCAATTGACAGCTGTCAAAAAGGGTATCTGCTGACCAGTGTCACATGTCTGTATAAATGGGCTCAAGAGTACAACTCGATTTCCCTGTAATGACCTCATTCTTGGTTAATAAGTGGCATATATCTAACGATTATTTTTAGATATTTAAGATCTGTCCAAAAAATGTCCTTCTATACTAAACTTCATTAGAAGCAGAATGCATTCTTTGAGCAGAACATTTTGGAAGAAAAATTTTGCTTCTTAGGTCCAATTCTGGACAGAGATTAATATCATCAGCTGGATAGGGCGCTGTACCTTTCAAACAACTGGTCGTAGGATGATACAAATTTTATAAACATAATTAATTTGTATTAAAACTGAAACATTAATGGTAATACTCAGTAATAGCCACCTTTGACATTGTAATACAATTCTTGATTATTATTTTTTAGATAGTGATAGGATAGGGAAAAGACAGTATGGTGGTTTACCAAAGAGGTGTGTATATCTGAGGAATACTGCTTCTGATGGTGAAGTTCCAGTCCTTCAGTGGATCAACATTGATGAGGTGTGTGGTTATATTTTCTGTTCACAAAACGTAAACCACCAAAGTGACTTTTGAATCTTCAAGGTTTTATCACCTGTAAATGTGGTTAAAATCACATTTGCTACAATACGTTACATGTACATTGTACTTCAATGGCTTGTAAACCTTTCAAAAATGAAAACATTACCCTCAGTCTTGAAAGCAAAATAACTACTGTTTTGTTAGAGGGCTAAGATAAATTTTCAAGAACTTTAGGCATTCTGATTCCAAATTTGTGAAGTCCTCATTACAGTAAGATAACAGTTTCAGTTGTTTATTTTGAGTAATTTTCTTTAACAATAGCCTATTGTTAGGAAACAATGCATGTAGTTGAGATTTCTATACTTAAATATGAAGGCATAGTAAATCTCACTAATTGAAAGCTCTTGATATAGATGTTATATTACATGTGTAAGTACACCATGTTACCATGGTGCCATTGATTGTGAAGGGGGAGGCAACATCACCATGGCATTTGATTGGGGATCATGGTTAGGTTCTTTTCAATAAAGGTGCTTTGACATTATTTTTCTGGGATAAATGTTATGTCCATTGTGAGGCTATTAAGTACATTTATTTTTGTTTTCATCAGGCTATCATGGAGAGACTGTCAATGTCCCATCCACGGAACCATGTCATGATTACTGGTGGTGCCCGCTTGACATCACTCACTGCTGAGATTGAAGCAGGCGAAGTGGCTATTGTAAAGTACCTTGCTTCATGCTATAGACGAGCTTTTGATGAATGCTCAAAATGGAAGGTTTGAAGTTTATTAGCATTGTCCAAGTTCCCTTTGTTACACTTGTTTGCTTGGTCCTAGCTTAGCAGCAAGAGCTTAAGTTTCCCAGAAATACTGCAACTTATATTTAAAAACATTAGTCTACCATATCATCAAGCACACTTAAATTGTCTGTATGATAGACAATGTTTGGCCCTTTGAGTTAATCAATTTGGTTTTTAGTAATAACGGTGACAAACGGTGATATTAGATGAGTGAAGTACAGTGTAGTAAAAGGTCGATTGTTATTGTTTTATTATTTTACATCCAAAGGTAAAAGATTTGACTCTCCTGGAAATGGCAGAAAGAGCAAAAACTCTGGCACTTTCATATGCAGGGTGAGGAATTTATTTTATTATATAACCACCAAATTATAAAATTCCAGGTGATCTTTGACGTGAAAAGATCACTGTTGCTATGCTACTGTATATGGCTACATGATAAATTGTGCCTTTTGCAGCAAAAAAATGTATATATAATTTAAGTGAAGATGGTTCATGTTATTTTATTGGTGTTTATATGATACACGGCTGCTTGAAAAACAAAAACAATGCGAAATTTTATATGTCTGTACAGCCATGTAAAATTCAACAGGTTCTTTGATTATGTTTTACAATATTTTATTATACTGAATTGAAAGCTAAAGCTAACTATGCTAACTTGAATAATTTCTTCAAGACTTATTGATAACGTAAAAAGCTATGAAGTGAAGTGCACAGATATATCTCACATCCAGAGAAATCAAAGTCAACCTAAAAGATTTTAGCTGCAAAAAGCGGTTGCACAAGACAGAAAGTGTTGGTCAGACAGCATGGAGGCTTGACGCGCATACTGGCGCGATAAGACATAATGATGATGATGATGATGATGATGATGATGATGAAACCCTGACCTGGAAGGCCAGGCATTGCAAATATACTTCAACATCTTTATTGAATTGGC